AATAAAGGCTTCCTTTTTGCAATTTTCCAAGGGGAGGGGGTCTATTTGAAGTTCCCCAGATCTTGTTCCAGCTCGACTGGAGAAAGAATAAGGAGAAATAGGGATCAGAGAACATATATGAGTGCAGTCCACTCATTCAAGCGAGAATTTCTGGACAGCTCATTACCATTAAAAGTGCCCCCACAGTATCTTTTGAAAAAAGGAGATTCCGTGGCCCCAAAATGGTGAGATTGTGTAAATCTTTGCCAGAATCAACTCCCTGGGTCTTTGGGCTTTCATATGAGAGCAGAATGGCTAAAAAATACTGTTGAAAAACAGTCCTAAGTGCCCGAGAAAGTTGAGGGTTGTCACTTGAAAAATACTTGCAAGCAGACTTTGGAAAAATCACTTTTTTTTGGGGGGGGGTAATTTTGTTTTGAGGGAATAACTCCAAATGTAATCGGTTAACCCACAGAAAATTGAAAAGAAAGTAAAAGATTATGGATCATACAATAATTTCACGTGTGTTTTAAATGCCTCAGGGATGTTGGTACGCATATTATTGGGCCCCAAACAATGCTGATTTTACACTGTTTTCAACGGGGCCTGAATTAGTGGACTACACCCATATACGACTGGAAAACATACGGAACGGAAAAATTGAGACTGTGGTAACATGGATACCTTGCGAGTTGTAGCCCCCTTAAATCGTGTCTGTGTTGATAGTAGTAACTATGCTGACACTGTGAGATCAAATTGTACATGAGCCACTTAGATAAAAGCTAGTGCATGACCTGCCCCGTTTGATGGAGGCGAGTGCCTACCTCACCCCTGATAGATGGAGGCGCGTTCATTCACAGTTGGGTTGTACAAGAAATGTAAAAGCGTGCATTGAGTATGCCCGTTTTCATCGTTACTGTTGTGATGTCCATCATTCTTGTCATTAAAATGAACTGATTCTAATTCAAATTGGATGCTATTTCCAAATTGGGTGTGTTGGTAAACAAATTTGAATTACGAATGAGGTGTTGTCATTCAAATTATAATAACTATACTCAAAAGACTTGGTATTGTCTGAATGCATTCAAACATGTACACAACTTTACTAACGAAATGGAGCGGGGAAAACTCTGCATGGTTTATTATATGTGGTCTTGATTATAACAAAAATATGTGCCAACATTTACTCCAAACTCTGTGAAAGAGTCAGAGCTGGAAAAAATGCTATTTCCAGGAGGCCTGGAATTTGACATGACTTTTTAGGGTTAAATAAATAGCCAAAGTCTTCAGATGAATGACACAAAAGTAATAAATACCGTAAATAATAATGGTGATCACCACACACCATACAAAGCTACAGTGAACTCAAGGTTAAGGTGATACACACTTTCTGTCATTTTTGAGAATTTGTGATTACTTAATTAACTGGGAAAACTATTTATCTCTGAAAAACGCACGGGTTTTCTTTCCAGTGAATATGAGGATTTATGTCAATCACAATGGAGCATAAGAACGCCCACACTAAAGAACTGACTTTACTCCATTTTTTTTTTACTCCATTAAAGCACGTTGAATGTTCTGTATAGTCAGGAATGAAAACGCTGACACCGTATATCGAGCCTTGAATACTATCTTTGGTGAGATTTAGTGAGGATTACCTTATTTGCTTATCAACTTTCGCGCTGTTGGTTGTCACTAGTAAATATGTGAAATGGTACATAATCGCGTGCCTTTATTGCTTCGTCAATGTCAAAACACGAACAGTTCACCTCCTGGTTGGTTCATGAATATTGCAACGAACAACGAACTTGCATGAATTTGCGCGCCCGTTCCTTCCTCCATGGTTAAACAGATAGAAGATAGAACCTAACAAAATACGAATGCTTTCCAGAATAAATAGTTTCAAACTTAACTAGAACAGGCCTACATGGGTAAAAATGACACACGCATGAAACAGAAAGTATGCTTAAACCAGAAAGTAAAAGTATTTCTCCCATAATGTTATTCACTGGTGCACCCTAATTATGAATGGATGAGGCAAGCAGACCACTGTGCCAGTGCCACTGATCTCTATTAATAGAGATCAGTGGCCAGTGCACGTAAAGCTATGCAACTTGGTCCTGTACGAGCCATGTGTAGAAGGCTACGTGCATTATTATATACTGATAACAATACGGAAGTCGTTTGTCGAGCTGAACGTTCGTATCGTGACTATTTATCTGCGAAGCCAGGGAGAGCCTATGTACGCAGTACTTGAATACTAACTGACTGTTGTGATGTAAGGTATGATGTTTTAACATTCCGAACTTATCGCAACTGGAACGAAGCCGAGGGAGCTGTGCGATCCCTGTGGGACAATAGACCGGTGGAGGAGACTTTTTTCTCCTCCAACATGGTGGGACTTAAAGCACCCTAAGGGATGCATGGCACCCGAGGCGAAGCCAGTGAATTACAGTAATTGGTAAGACCAGATAGGGATATTGTCTATGGGTGTTTAAGGTCAGCCTAAACTAAAGGAAAACCAGAGAAAACTCCTCAGGAAAGGAACTGGAAGTGAAAATATATCTTAACCCAAAAATGTTTCAGCATTACTTAATACTTTTTAAGAGCACTTTCAATCTATGTTTAGGATGGGCAGAGGGTTTGATGTTCCTTTTATTGAATAAATTAGGACTTAAATATTGGCAAAATGTCATTTGAACCTATTCAGAACTTAAAGTTTATACTCTTTTAAAATTCACTAATGATTAAACGTGTAGGAAAAGACAAAACGACAAAATTTAATTTGTCTGAATTACTTGAAACCTCATGTCACACCAAGCCTTAACATTTTCGCTGTGTTAGTGTGAAAAAAAATTACACAGAAAAGAGGGTAACAGCAAAACCTCTATTAGTTGTAAACAGTACAGGTTTATGACCAAATAACCAATAATAATAGATTTTACAGTTTATTGGATGGATAAGGGAAATTACATACCGGTATGACATCTTAACACAAACTGTACTTAAAATGCTGCTTCCCACCTGATCAATGGCGGAAAGGTCTGAGGGGGTTCTGGTCCCTACCTTACAGACATAAAAAGGTGAAAGATTACAAACTACAGGAAAATAATACATGTACCATGTAGCCCTCTAAAAAAAATCAGAATGAAGAATATCTCCTTTCGACAAGAAGAATGGCACGAATGATCATCCTCCCATTTTTATTGAAGAGAAACAAAAAATGGCCGATTTTGAGGTTATTTTCGAACTTTACAAGAGTCCAAGCGCTTAAAAATTGAGCACTTAATGTTAAAAACATTTGAAAGCACGAAAATATATTCAAAAGATGTATGTCTATACCACGAATAGCCCCCCCCCCCGACTGTAATGTGTACCCCTACTTTTCAAATTTCCAGAGTTTTGTGTTTTTTGGTTGGTTGGTTTTTAAATTGTTTTTTTTTTCTTTAATGCCCCCCCCACACACACAAACTCACACACACACAGTGAACGAAATAAAATGTACTAAAGTATCTAAGCTGGTGAAATGTCAGTTTACCCTGTGGCCTGTGATTAAAGGATCTATTTTTATGTTCCTGTAACCTTTTGCCCACTGGAAGATAATTAATCTTCAAATACTTCTCCAAGTAGCGATTGCTTATCTATGCTCTTTCAGTTGGAAATATGGCGGGGTCCGCAGACAGAACGAACTTGGACAAAACCGAACTGGAAAGAAACAAGAATCAAGAACTGGATATCAAGACATCAGTAAATCAGACAGAACCAGCAGGTGAAATCCTACTCTACATGTACAATAGCGTTTTACATTTAATTTGCGGAATAGAAAGGAGATTTTTTGTGTGAATTCGGTTGGTAGGAGCAAAGATCTTTTACCTGTTGTCTTGTATACAACGTGACATGACTTGTTATCTTCACCCTAGATGTTCAACCAATCGTGGCCTCTCAACAAATTGCGCAGTCTTCAGTGAGTCAGAAACTGATAGGTTCTGGGAATCTTGCTGTTGTTAATGCACCAGGAAGTACTACACAAATAAATATACATGTTCACCAATCCCGAGCACAAGGTAAACGACAATTCCTTTTAGAGTGGATTATTGAAATTATCCTAAAAAAACTGACCAAATTATTACTAAAAAATCGTAGGCCTACTTTGGCTTAAGATTGTGAAGGCACTGAACTCGTCTAAAACCCGTCTGGCAGACTTGTTTTGAAATTGGAATAGATCCGAGGAGACGAATTTCGCACGCGTTGTGGCCCGTTCATACTAAGTTCAGAGGAAGGCGAAAGCGAAGCGAATTTTGCTTCACGAAACGTTTGCAGCCAAATTTGCTCAAGATGCAAATATGTTTAACTTTTGTGAATTCCATTCGCAAAAATTCATCTACCCTTCCTTAAATTGCATCCGTATTCGCTATCGTAACGACTAAATAAATCCTCTTTGAATACAAGGGGACATTTCTTTCTTATTCCGACATAAAATCGCAAAAATCGCGTCACAATATGACTTGCATGGTCAGTACACAAGGCTATTCACGAACAGCTACCACAGGGCGATCGAGCGTGATAGTCTGTCCTATCAGCGTATAGCCATACACCGACTCGCGCGCACTTTGTTCCCGAAAGATCTTTACTTTTTGAAATACCGAATCTGCTCATTGCTTTTATCGTTTGGTGGAAAAAAAATAATTTGCTACTGTACATAAGAAGCATCAACATTACGTAAGTTAGAAATTTATTCGTAGCTTTCTTTCGTTTTTTTAATTGCTACATCGCAGTTATTAAGCGTGCGTAGCGCATGCGTGAGTTATTTATTTTGCTCACACTTTGAACTAAAGATAGTACAGCGCCACGCAGCGGCTGCCCGGCTCTATGGTGTGATTATATAGCGCCGCTACGGGGCGCTATAAGATCTTTGGTTTGAACGGTGCTGTGCTGGACTGTTTTTGCAGTGCGCGTGAGCGCATTGGTCCGAATCATTAGTCACATCGCGTAATATACATCACTCAGATGACGGAGACATATTCAGACGTAGTACAAAGCCAGACACTGGGCCCATAATGATATGTGTGGATTTGACACATAGAAGTAATCCACGACACCTACCTAGTTCGATTTTTGTCCATCATGTTTGTGTATACGGGAATTTTTATCAGCCAACAATTCAGTTGAAGTGTTTTGGCGGACTGTCTGGTAGCAGAAGTGCAGCCTTGATTCCACAATGGTTACACCACGAATATTAGAGTAACAAACTGTCCATGAGTACTCAAGCGACTGTCATCCCCCATTACTGTCTGCACTTTAGGTTGCATAGGCTTGACCTTCAGGCTCGGTCCGTCAAATTGATAAGGCCTATCAAGTTATGTCTGTTTGGTTTATTGTGAAATTTGATCTCTTCAATCGAAGATCGGCCGTATGGCACAGAAGCCCTTTTGGGAAATGTACCTTGTATGGCTGACCAACCAACTCAAGTTCCAGCCACTGCAGCACGGCCGTCAGGTGAGTTTTTTAAGACAAACTTAAAATGAAAATGTGGAGATCTGTTGAAGACTGAGGACAAACTCAGCAGTAAACTGAGATATGCATTGTAAATGAATCGTCATTTCTGAGAAACTGTGTTCATATCATACAGGAAAATATTTTGCAGGCACTGCCTGTTAGCAGAATGGTGGAATGTTATTCTACTTTTATATATGAGACCATATGTAAAAATCGCTGGTTTTCAGGCTGAGTGACATTACAAGCATTAAAGTTTTAAGTTTCAAGTTTTCAAGTTTAGCCATACTACTTGGGATGGTTTTCTTGTCATCATTAATTATTTAAAAACAGTTTAGCAAGTTGCTCTCTGAATAGAACTCATCCCTATCTATGTCAGGCGTCTTCCGATTATTCTAATCAGAAATCACGTTTGTTTCGTGCTAATTCCAGACTGTGTTTCCAAATCATCAGAAGAATCAACCTCAACGGCGGCCGAAAAAACAAGTCTGGCTAAACGTAAGAAATAAGATCGTTATGTTCGTAACTTTAATCCCGTGAAATTGCCGTGAACTGTTGCGCACTCTTACAGTCGTTGTGGATCCTGACATTTTTTAAATGATCAGACTTCATAAGGGGGTGCGTCTGACCACTAATGGAGGAGAAATCATAATATCCCGACGATAGAGGCCTATTCTTCCATCCATAGTGGAGCGTCCAACGGGAAAGGGCGAGGGACAAGTTGTCCCCCTCGGACATTATATATTTTAATTTAAACTTAAAGTGTGAACACTTGGAAGCAGTACTAAGTTGCCCCTTCCTTTGGAGGGGGAAGAGTTCTTCTACAATAAAAAACAAAGATGACAATCATTTCAGGAAAAAATCCCCCTTACCTGTCCCAGACCAAATATACACTACTGCTCTCATCCCTCCTAGCCTTGAATCAAGGCGCGCCTGGTACCTCACAACACGAAACAGATCCTAATGACAATGGCAAAGCCGTGATCGCCAACACTGTCTTGTAGGCAATCAACTGCTCATTTACAAGTTGTGTAATTCCTGAATATAATAAAGATAAATGGGCGTTTCATTTTGTTGACGCAAAAAAAAAAAACACACACACGTGCGCGTATAAATTTTTTCGTGACTTTTTAAATCAGATTTTATCGGTACCCTATGCGCACCATAGCTGCTGCTTCAGAGCCGTCAACTCTCTCAACACTGACTGAATTAAGTGAACAAATTTTTAAATCGGCTGAACTTATACATCGAAAGACAGCCATCGAAAGACATGCATACCGAAATTGGCAACCGTGCTCGAATGTTTAGGGAAAAACAATGTTTAGGTTTTAAAACAATCAGCTATGGATGTAAATAAACATGTGCAATTGCTCTTACGATTGCGTACGTGGTACTTCCGCGTTGCATTTAGAATACATTCTGATTTTGAATGTTCTACAAGCACGCACATGGATTAAAAAAGTATCTGCCCCACGACCAAAGATCGTGTAGCGCCGCCGCGTTGCGATGCTATACGATCTTTGCCCAGACGGCGTCAAAATTTCTCAGTGCGGAAAATTAGAAGTTGGCGCTCAAGTTTTTATATTTGTCTCTCTGTGTCAAACAAAAAAGGCGGTGGGGTTGAAGTTACAGATCTGTGGGTTAGACCCGTGTCACTCACATGGAAGCTGGCGAACGCACTCAGTACCGTAGACAAGTGTTTGGTTCAGCAACCGTATATCGCAGGTTGTATGCTCTTAAAATAAGCTTGAATTCTTTATCAATTGGCATAAAGGGCACCTCTTGCCTTGCACAGTTGTCATTACCCTGCTGATCCAGCACTTGTTATCGTTTTGTCATGAAGCTTTGAATGCTTGCATAACTACTGTGCGTGGCACTGCAGTCTCTGCCTACAACTACAGCGGATGTTCGTTGGGTCATGTGGGTCAGTGAGAGCCCCCTATCAGAGCCTTGGTCATGCCATTACGTAAGACAAGCGGAGAAAACACCTCCCGCTCAGTGCATCCTTAGGCCTTGAGCACACTCCTTTGATGGTTCTTTGTAGGGCCATGCCGAGTACCCGATTGCCCGCAACCCAACCGCTGATTACGAGTACTCTATTCCATTTTTGTTCATTTTATTACCCGAAACTGCCCCTTCGCAACTTTTCAGAAAGAAAGCATCGGTTTCTTTTGCTTACTTTCCTGAGTTGTCAGAAAATATCTGAGTGGAATATGTTTTGAGTCCATTTGCCGATGATTTCTCAATGTCTAGACTGCAGACGGTCGGCTTGCGGACTTAGATCGCGACCTTGTTTTGCTTGTGCTATTGTGAGCATATGTGACATCACTTACTCTAAAATAATGCGAGTAATTCTCCACTAATTTCATTGTTCAATATCCGGTCAATAACATTATGCATTAAACTTTCTCAACCAAATCGGTAAAAAAAGCGAGAGGTAAAGACGCTTCGCTGCTCAAGCTAGTACCTTTTGGGACTTGCCAGTATCCACGGCATAATGCACGCCTTGGCCAACGACCGCTCTTCTACCAAAAGTGAAAACAATTTGTTTGTTTGTTATTTAACAAGCAGATTACAGTAGTCTCGAGAGCATAGAACAGCATAGAAGAGTCATCGAGAGGTGTGCAGAAGCGTTAAGGACCACGTACAAGTCCACAGGTAGCTATGTGCCTATGATACCGTGGGTTGACGATGACTCGAAGCACATTGACGAAATCTACTCGGGATTGATGTTGGAAACTGAAGAAGGCCTGACCGATTCAGAGAGAAGGAGCAGGGTTTTGGAAACTTACGGGGAAATTTTTGAGGTGAAAACTAAAAATGGCGACCCAATCCACATCGCAATATTAAAGGGTGAACCCGGCAGAGGAAAGTCAACGCTTGTCAAAAAAATGGCGTATGATTGGGCAGTTTACATTAGAGTCCTGCAGAAATACAAGCTTGTTTTTGTTTTGAAAATGCATGCACTGGAACAAGGTTGTGACGTCATTGACGCCATTTCTGACCAGCTGTTGCCCTGGTTGACAAGTAGTGACCGACGTGTTTTGGACTTGTACATTCAAGACAGTTCCGATAAAGTACTGTTTCTGATGGATGGTTTTGACGAGCTCATGACAAGCGCACTCTGTGAAAGCTCATTTGGTTCTGTCTTTCATGTCCTACATCGGAAGAAATACACAGGTTGCTCTGTTGTAGTGACAACGCGCCCCTCCCACTATGCCAACTTGGTAACAAAATCACTGGTTCAAAAACCATTCACCCATGTCAGAGTTATGGGATTCGGCCCCAAAGATATCTGTGAATATGTAAATAAGTTTTATCCAGACGAGCTTGGCCAGGCAGAGGGGCTTCTTGGGAGGATCAGATCCTCTGATGTTCTGTTTGACTTGGCAAAAAGTCCCATGATGCTTCTTTTGATGTGCCTACTGTGGAGGGGAGAATCCACGCTCCCAGAAACAAAGTCTAGGCTTTATGAAGAGGCGTTGACTTACATACTGAAAAGAAAAGCCTGCATGTCCCCGGATGATATCACAACGGTTGTAAATGAGATGGGGCGGGTAGCGCTACGTGGGCTCCTCTCCCCAAGCCAGATTCTCGCATTTACAGAAAGTGACTTTTCCATGAGTGTGCTTGATATGGCAATAACAGCAGGTGTCTTGACCAAGCAGAGGGTCTTAAAGGGGATAAAGATGCATAACAGTATACAGTTTATCCACAAGACGATACAAGAGTTCTGTGCAGCTAAACATATGCAGAACCTACTTGCGGCAGACGAGCAGCAATTCCAAAAGACACTAGATCAAATTGTATCTCTCGGACCAGTGAAATTTGACAGTCTTCTGCACTTTTGTTCCGGGGACAGTCAGTCGTGTCTGAATGCTATTTTGAGGTCATTCCAAGAAGTACAGTTTGACGGGAAGCTACGGAAGTTGGCCATCAATTGTTACTTTGAGGGGCAACCAGCAGAATTGCCACCAGTAGAAAGCATACGGTCAATTGTAACTGACGAAATACGTCTCATGGTCTGGGATACTGACAGTCTAAACGCCCTCACTTACTTTTTGAAGGATGTTGCTGATGATAATGGACAAGCTTGCCTGGCGCAAGTGCAGAAGGTAGAGTTGCTTAAATGTAACATTGAGAGGTTTTGTGAAAGCTTATCGTATTCCATGAGTGTCATGACAAATCTTTTGTCATTGCTTCTGATGGATTGCTCATTAACTGTTGGCAGTATGGCTGATATTATGTCGTCAATGAGACTTGCGACAAACCTGGCGGTGTTGAACCTGTCATACAACGAAGCGTTGGGTGGTTCCGCGGCGTTGTGGGCTTCGCACCTTTCACATCTAAAACGGCTCCAAAGCCTTGTGTTGAGTGAATGTGCATTAACTGGTGAAGATATGAAACATATTGCTGTGTCACTGCGCGATGTACCCAGTGTGGTTGAATTGGACATTTCATTAAATAAAACCCTTGCTGGATCAGCAAATGTCTGGTGTCCTTGCGTAAAAGAGCTGGAACACCTTCAGATGTTAGGCCTGGTCGGCTGTAACATGCAATGTCAAGATATGAAATGCATTGCCGAAGCTGTGGGATCGATGAGAAATCTTGTGAATTGTTTAATCAGTTTTGACAGAGATCAGACGGGCAGCAGTCACCTGATTGAGCCGACAGATTGTGGTATCAGGTTAAATCTGAGCCAGTGTTCAATGGCAAGCGTAGATCTTGCAGATGTTTTGGATGCCATAGCTATAAGAAGTGACCTTGTTGAAGTTGTCCTGGGTGGAGATTCACTGGCAGAATTGCATTTCCGGGGTCTTAAACACGTTCAAAAGGTGACACTGGAAAATTGCAGCATCAAAAGAGAAGGCCTGAGGCATTTTCTTCAATCTGCCGGTTGCATGGAAAGTCTTGTCGATTGCTCCGTGAGTTTCGTTTATGATCCAGAGGTATTACATCTTATTCAGAGAACTGATGCAGACGGCATTAAGGTGGATTTGAGCAAGTTTTCATTTGATGAAAATGATCTAGCACGCGTGTTAAGGGCGATAGGTGACAGGCGTGACCTAGTAGAACTGAGTCTCAATGGGAATACACTACCAATATTGCATTTCCACTTGGATCATTTCACCAACCTGCATAGACTTAGACTAGAGAATTGCACTATGAATAAAGCTGATATGAAGCTTTTTCTTCAGTCAGTTGGCCGTTTGACAAATATTGTGGACTGCTCACTTGGGTTTGTATATGAGGCGAAGAGAACTGTCCCCATTAAACAAACCGACGTGGGCATGAAAGTTGATTTGAATCAGTTTCCGTTAAACGGGAGAGATCTCGCAGATGTATTGGAAGCGATGACAGTCAGGCAAAATTTGTCAGAGTTGAGTCTTAACGAGAAAGTCAACCTTAGTGACTCGGCTCAACTATGGGCCATGAAACTGAGGCAATTCCAGCACATCCAGAAGCTGGATTTACGTAATAGTTCATTCACAGCAAACGATGTCACTCTCTGTGCTCGGTCGTTGCGAGTTTTGCCCAGCTTGGTTGAACTGAATCTCGCAAGTAAAGGTTCAATAGCTGCATGCTGGTGTCCCTACTTACAGCAACTGGAACACCTCAAGACCTTGAGGCTGGGTACTCGGAAATTTGAAGGAAAAGAGTTGAGCAATTTTGTAGCTGGATTTAAGGGGGATTTCACTTGTCGCCTAGAAGAAACCGGTGCGGGTACGGTTAGGCTTAATCTGAGTAAGTTACTTGCCGGTGTAAATGTGGTAAATGCATTGACGACCCTCACAACAGAGGCGTTTCGCTTCTTGATTGAATTGACACTCAGTGGAAATCAAATAATTGGTGGTTCAAGTGTGTCGTGGGCTTATGCATTAACATATCTGAAACACCTTGAAAAGCTGGATGTTAGTAATTGTTTTCTGAGTGGAGAACACGCTTCACGCATCATCGAATCGCTGTCTGATCTGCCCAACTTGTTTGAGCTCGTTCTTTCTGGTAATGAACTACTTGGTGGATCGGCCGAAGTTTGGTGTCCTTATTTGTTGGGTTTATGCCACCTCCAATCGCTGAAGCTATGTGGTTGCAATTTCAACGACAAAAACATACACAGTCTTTCACTTGAGTGTTTTGGAAGGCTCTTGGACTGCTCTATTAGCGTTGTCTCTGATGACGAGACGACTTATCGATTGGAGCTTACTGCCCTCTTCTTTGGCACAAGGCTGCGCCTGAACAAACCAATCACTAATACAAATTTGTCTAGCGTTTTACAGACTATAAACGGTCACAGAAGTGATGTGGTAGAACTGGATCTCAGTGGGAACGCAACTCTAAGTGGTACGGCTGAGTTATGGTCTTCTTCTTTCAGAGAGTTACAATGCCTGCAGGAACTGAACCTGAGGAACTGCTCTCTCACCGAGAGGGATGTACAAGTGGTTAAAACGTCAATACGTAAGCTTGCTGAAATAGCCGTATTGTATCTGTGATTCAATCCACGGGCAGCTTCTTCCATGCCAGGGCTGTCTCGAAGCCAAGTTAACAGCGTGATATCATCAGCTTAAAGTCCCAGAAACCGACTTGGATCCCGTGATCATCTAAAGATCTTGTCTCCGATTGGTCTCAATTCTGAGTTTGCAAACTCAGTTCAGTCTGGATTTGGCCGTACATTTTAGTAATAATCCCGAATTTTGGGGCAGCCTCACCTTCCAAGACTCCAAGAAAGCTTAGAGTAAAGAAAATGAAGTTCAAAATTTCTACCAGCCATTTTTAACCCAAGCGAATTCATAGGTAAACCAAAACAAGCTGGGTTATCGTCGACTGTTTAGCGTCTGAACAAGATAACCTAATTTCTGTGCTTGCAGAGAAACCTATCAAACACAAAAATAATTGATTGGCAATAGGCATATAACTCACGCGCCCCACTTGACTAGCTTAGGATGCTTTGCTTGGTGTCATAGGATGAAGGGGATAAGCTTTGAAGCTTTTCATGGTGAAGGTGGCAAGTTAAGAAAAGGTTTGCCTTGCACTATGCTTGGATATCTCTTTTGTGAGTATGTGTGGTTCTGAAAAGAACCGGTCATGAGGGAACTGAATTTCTGTCTGTCGTCAGGAGACTGCAGAGGTTCCAACGATGAGGCAGTTTATGTGGTGTCTGGTGGCGGTGAGGTGTGGAGGGGATACTAAGGATCCTACCAAGGGCACTGAAGCAGAACATAGGGTGCTAGAGTGTGTCAGTCTTAAGGAAGGAAGCACTTTGGAAGGTTGCCAAGTGTATAGGAGACCCATTCGACTGCGATGTGAGGATAGGACGCCATATGTCGCTGATGTTGAAACCGATGTCTGGGGGACTGTGTTGTGCTTGATGATTTCGATGGCTTCTCTAATGCGGCGAGGGTACCAATGTTGGCGATGAGTTTGGTTTGGCTCCAGTCGATCTAGTGGTTTTCGATGTGGGAGGGCTTGATGATGACTGACTTGTCGTATTCCCCGTTCCTGTCATGGGCTTTGTGTTCATTGTGTCTGATAGGGAGGTCCCTGTCGGTCTCGCCGATGTTCACTTTGCCACACAGGGAGGGGATCTTGTACAGTCCTGGCTTGTGGTGTGGGTTAGGGCGGTTGTTGTGCAAGGTCAGCAGGTTCTGCATCTTCGGGGGCTTTATAGTACACTCGAAATTCATGCTTGTGGAGGGTGCGCTGGATGTTATGGGGAGTACTGCTTAATTGGGGGAAGGTGATAGAACTAGGGGCCGTAACAAGTTGGCTTTGGGAATAGGTGACACCCTTATGTGGCTGGACTTGTATCCATTCCGATGTAGAGCTGTGGTGATATGGTGGGGTTCTTGTTCCTTGTCGCAGACGTTGTATGCCCTACGAACAAGGGCCCGGTTGATAGAAGACCTGATTTTGGGGTGATTAAAGGAAGCACTGTGGATGTTTATATCAGTATGGGTCGGTTTCCGGCAGACTCGGCCGGTAAGACTGCCATCCTGCTTTCTGGAAACCTGGACGTCAAGAAATAAGATGCTGCCATACTTTCCTTGTTCCATGGTGAATTTAATGCTGCTTTGAATCCCGTTGAGATGTTCCAGGAAGAGATGGAAGCTGTCTTGTCCAAATCAAAAAGGTGTCGTCCACGTACATGTACCGTAGCCAAATCTTGGGTCTGTGATCTGCTGTGGACATGGCGTTCTGTTCAAATTTTCCATGAATATGTTGGCCAGAACTGGGGATACAGACGATTCCATGGAGGTTCCAGCCGTTTGAAGAAAATAATGTCAAAAGTACTGCTCTGGATTTACTGTACTTCCTAGGTATAAAAAACAGCCAAAATGTCATCATGATAATGCTGCCGAGAGATTTAAGTAATGTGTGCATATTTAAATAGGCCAAGAGATTGCATTTTCGGTGCAATGTTGTAAATATGTAATTATCTATATATGGGCAAGGACAGTATCTGTGAAGTTTATACAATAAAAGGCTATGGCTCATTTTTGAGGTATGCAGCTGGATTAATTTGTGCTGCAGATTTGTAGCGTAACAGACGTGACAGATTAATGGGTACAGAAGAAAGTTTGTTTGATAATGAAGAAGGTTTATTATAGCTAGGCCCTGTACAAAATGCAATAATAGCAAATATTTTTGCCCTGAAATACATGTAATGGTGCATATTTTCTATGCACGGACTCTTCGAAGATCATTTAAAATATGCATTTAGAATTAAAAGTGAGGTCACACATTTTCGGGGGCAACCTTCGTTTTGGGGGCCAACTATTTTGGAATTTCTTCATGCAGCCTTTTATGGCCTTTCTTGTGGTGAGGCCAATTTTGGGACTTTGCTTTGAGAAGATTAAATGAAACACTCTCCAAAATTTTCTCTTTTTCATCACATTTCAAAAATAACGTTTTGCTCGCATCCCTAGATTTTTTGGGTTTTTTTGACTGATTGTGGGTCAATCAATAAGGATCGTCATCACGTGCTGTTCCCTTGATTTTACTTGTTCCATTAACGATGACCAGTTATAATTAAGGGAAACACAGAGGACATGTGATTATGCAAATAAACGTCGTATAAAAAGACCAGTGAACAGGCCAGTCTGTGAGTTTCTCTACCGATGTAATTACTTTTCGGTTAATTGCTTCAACCAACGCAGTCAATACTTCCATTCGTCCTGGTGACAAGTAGAGCAGATCTGGGCAAGGTTGTTTGTACTTGGCGCCGTTTGAGATGTTTCATTGTCATGTTTCAGACATATTTCCTGAACTCCTAGCAGAATGGCATGTGTGAGTATGTTTTCGCCTACTTTAATTCGAAACATCGAGGTGGAGAAAGTTGAATTTGTAACCTAGACTGTTCACCATGTGTACTTTCATGAAAAGTTTTAAATGTCTTACTTAATTTCGCAAATCGTTCAATTTATGTCGTTTACGAAACCTTTGTTTTGGACTTTCCTGTATGACATACCATTGCTATAAATTTAAGAAACTCCAGTTTTAACCTTTAATGTGTGATTTATGTTACGTACGATACGGGCGATTCACAATAGTGTACCTCCTAGAGTTTGCAACGCGTTGGCCAATCACGATGCGCGATATCTGTCGACCCAAATGCGCGTTTGGAGAGGCTCAACAGATTTTGCGCATTGTGATTGGCCAACGCGTTGCAAACCCTTGGAGGCACACTATTGTGAATCGCCCGTATCGGTTTATAGAACCTGAATTGACCTTTCCCATGAAATATACAAATTACTACGGGCGCATGTGCGCTACTACCACTGGTGGGCAAGCGCGGCCGTCAACACTGTCGGCAGTGCAGGCGAGCTGCTAGTAACCAAAACCTGGAGCGTGGAAGGTCAATCAAAACCTCATTACAACCTTTGCCCGATACTTGAGCGCTCTTTTCTTGAAACTGAGAGAAGTTTTCAGTGTCCTGACGTCGGAAAGTAACAATTCCTTGTCTTTAAGTTTGGCACTTATGTCAAACTATTTACTAGTACAGAAACGGCGATAGTGGCGCGAAGATGGAGATTTGTACTGTTACGTCATAGATTTAAGCAACTTTGCCAACCAGTGGTGGTAATGCGCATGCGCTTGCCTTATTTCTCATATTTCATAGGAAAGCTCCGTTGACCGGGACATGGTCAGCGGATATGGAACATAAAAACTAATAGGATAATTCTAATTGATAAAACATTGTGAAAATATACAAAAAACATGTCAACTATCTCGTAACGAATATAAGGATACATGTAATATATTTGTAGGGAAGCGTGTTTTAGGGGGCACCATAGTTTGTTTGGCACGCCGCCCAGCCCGTTAGAAATGTATAACAAATTCCCGCGAAGGAAGTGTGGTGGGCGTGCGAGTAATAATTATAATCCTTTCCAGTGTGGGCACCAGAGAGTGCTGTCTGGAAGGCCAAGTCCACGGTCGCACACCGGCCTGGCATTTGGGGTAATTATAGGGATTTGGGGGAATTATTGGAATTTTAGGAAAAAGGATTTGAATTGTAATTAACTGCGATCAAACCTACATATTTGAACCCCCAATGTTGACATGTAAATAAAACTTTGTATAGGTCTAATTGAGACAGTTACATTTGGACTTTTCCTGCCCGTCTTCCTCTGCCTTGGCGTCCATAATTTAAGCGGACCTCCTTAATAGATGGCCTGTCGTTACATATTCATAAAATCCGGTTTCACATACTGAATAACTTAAAGTTTTAGTTTCTTGATCTTACTGGAGAGCAATCAGAAGAATATACTTTGTTTAGAAATGTTGTGTTGTGTGTAGAATTTTTTTAGTGATTTTCATTTTGTGGGGTGACTGCAATTGGAAATTTCCCTCGGGGTTCAAACACGCAGAGAATATTGAAACGTGGGACCACCCCAAAATGGAAGTTGGATTTCTTTGTACAATTATCTTCATAGCTGTCTTTGCCTTGAGTGTGCGATTCATGTCATCTTGTCATTGCGGATAATGCTTCAATATTATGCCCTTATTTCACCAAGTAATGCGTAACAGCAAGAAGCACTGCTACAACATCCTTTTCTTGGATGTGAACAGGACCTTTGAATTGACGGGGGTTTGTATCGACTGATGCTTTGACCATCCTTACGCCTGAAGAAAAACCCCTGTTGAAGATCATCACACGAAAGTGGTAACGCCATATCTATGTATAACAATATATACTAAAAAAATGCTTAATTCAATTTCAGCAACGGCGGAGGCCGGGCCACTTGTCAGAAATGCCTTTCCCCATTATTACCTTATAGGGGGCGCCATTTATATCGCCGCAAAACGCTGCATTTGACAGACATGAAAAGAGTAGTGCCAACTTCACACAGGTTTTGGAACTAAATAGCTGTTCATTATGTGTACAGCACAGCATGCAGTTATTGTGTGCTAATTTTCATTTGCACTGACGCATAACCCAACCGTTTTGGTTCCAATAATTGAGACAGACATGTCGCAACTCTATTTATAAATCTTTTTTTCTGCCCTGAGCAGAAGCATGTCTTCATCGGTCGAAAAGATCTATGTTGGTCGGGAGGGTTCATTTTGTTGACAGCGATGCAACGGTTGCGTTCCATTGTCGTTCGTGAACCAGTGATGGGCACTGCTGCCAAAGGAGCCTCCATTGCTAGGAAATTTGCAGCCTCTCTTGGTCTAGTCGGAGCCAACATCATGCCCAGCTGTCTTTTGACGAGAGCTTATCAAGGCCAGCAAGAAGCAGGCTTGTTTCACCGACCAGTTTGTAGGCTACCCTAGACAACAGTGATAAATATGCTGCCTCAACCAGTGATTTTTGAAGATACATGTTTTTCCATCGTAGGATATGAGGTTCTGGTGCCTATCCCTCTTTTACACCCATCACAAAATAGAGATATCTGGAATGTTCTGCTTGTCTTAAGATCTACCAAATCCAAGCTAGCAGTCTTGGTGCAGTGCAAAAACTGCGTTGTTAATTTAACACCGAGTGCCTTGGCCATCAATTTAACACCACGGTATTCCCAGTGTGGCTTCCTCCTTTTTTGGTACAAATCCTCTTTATTCACGGACCACAAAATGCTCAGAGAATTTGAGGGTATGCAAATAATTGTGATTCGGTCCACATAGGGCCTATTTACTGGCCTGTGACCCTATAGACGAATCTGGTGACCATAGAAACACTGTCACTTGTCATTTGCAAGTGGCCCCTGCCAATGGCGGTAAACACTATCATAGCCATTGTGCTGAGCATAATTCTTGACAGCCGCGCCCTCACAAACAAACTGCAACATCGGCAGTGGGCGCGCTATCGAGTGAAGCGTCCCTGGATTCGTTTTTAGGCGGGGTTCAACTGGCCGTGTCCAAACCGGGCTTCCAGAACTACGGCTGCGTCTATCGTCAGCGTGTGCCTACGTGTTTTTAACGGTCGATCAGACCTAGCCCTTGTAGATGCGGACGCAGCCTTAACGATTGTTGCGATTTACGGGATGTCCAGTGTATCTGAAACCAACCCTCTGAACTGAATACGAGTGCGCTGAGGTACGATGGGAGACCTTACCTGCCTGTCGTATAGGTCACAGGATGGGTGGGTATCGAGTGCCAACTGAGGGGTGAATTTCAGCTGGGCAGGCGTTTGTAGTGAAGCTCCAGAGGGAAGGGGAGGGGATGTCTGTGTCCAATTTCAAATAAAGTAAAACAACGAATTACAGCCGAACCAAGAAGTCTTTGATCACTAAGTATAATTCAGCACGAAAAGCAACGGCAAAATAGTTGTTCAGAGCAGATCAGACTATAAAAGCGAAAAAGAGATTTTTTTGAAGTAGATACTATTTTGAGCTCACATTGTGATCACACAAGGTATTTATAACAGAGGTGCCAAAATCAGGTCCAATTATAGAACTTTGTCCAAAATCAAATAGTTGGAATTTGCAGCTTCCAATCTGGGGTGCGTCGTTTACAAAAACTTTATAAATTTTACAGTAGTTGTGAGCTGGTTAGCATTAAAAAAAATATGGGGAACTTGTGAAATCGAGAAGAAAATTGGTCCGGAAATCATAATCTTAAATTTCCCAGTGAAACACACAGAACCAACCTCTTTCTGAGCATCATCCGTCGGCGTTTTTTTTCTCCAATTTTGCGTTGTTCGGGTACTAACGCAACCACAACGAGCGCAAAATTAAAGGCAATGTACATGTACTGTATGTCCGCTGTGAGCGCAACCCACCTGCCTGATAGTGGTTAATTTTGGGACAGCGCCCTCTAGTTACATGACGGTTGCAGAATAAACCAGGCAGCTAGTTGTGACATGTGCGTGTGTCAGGGAACACCCATACGATGCTTTCTGGCCGATTCCTCCCAAAGATCCCGTCCATAATGTGTTAAAACCAGTTTCCTGAGTGTGTTTTGATAACCAGATCAGTTGCCTAAGGATGTGCAGGTTTTGTCGTCTGTAGTGCCTTTTTCCCGGAGCTAGAATGTTGACTTTCAATACCGATCCCGTAGAGGATTTCTACGAAATCGGAGAGGACATTGGCAGGTACGTGTACAACGAGCAAGGACACAGTCAGAACGGTTAGGATCACATTCATAGGCCTAAATCATCGGTAAAATTGGTTCCTGTCATTTGCTGCCAACGTTTCTCTTTATTTTAACAGTAGGCCTACAGTTTTTACTCTTGAACCTTAAAGGTCTCACAGGAAAGAATTCCATATATGAACGCCACTAAGTTTTCCTAGGACTAGGAGTGATATCCGAAAGCAATAAAATGTCCAAAACCAATGAAATGTCAACTAGTAGCAGTGAGCACTAGGCCTACTTAGAATTTTTCTGACCAGTCTCAAAGAATTTGTGCACAGGGTGTCACGTGGCATCTTATGGAACTCTTTCTACTTTACTTATACTTTGGAGTTCAAGCCTCCTTTTCTTTGTTTTTTAAAGTAAAGCCCAAACTCAAGTATGAAAAGGCCCAAATTTCCTTACCGATTTGTACTTGGTGGAAAGAATTCCTTACTGGCTGCATAAACGGGATGAACATCACCAATTCTCTCCTTGCAGTGACATATGCCATTAGAAATTGATATCATCCCTCCAAATGTTCAAGTTAACCTGGAAAATATTGAAGTGTTTACTTTGAATTTTTTAAACTAGTGTCCTGTTTTTTCTTTACAAAAGGGTATGGTACCAGATACATGTACAGTATATGTATGTACATACATGTACGTGCACACCCCGTGGAACTCATTCCAGTAAAAGGGATTCCTGTGAATTGTATTATTATAAATCAATCTAGGGGGCACTTTAGCTAGGAAAAGGGGCTCCTCACATTTATGTTAGGGAGAACAGGTTACATGTAAGGTGAACTTATCGGTACATAACCCCCCCCCACCTCCCTGAGAAGGTACCGGTATTTCTGACAAGTCTGTGCTTAAATTTTTCTTGAAATTGATCACAAAATACTCAGAAGATCGATGTGTGTTGCAGTAGAAGTTCCAGTGTACGGTGTACATGCACTGTGGACTGAAAGAATCTTTTGAGGAATTGGATTTCTTTCTTGTTTTCAATGGTTGCATGCCAGGTCAAAGGAACAGTCTCCGTGTACCAGTTGTAAGGGATCTAATGGCCATATTGGGAAAGTGAAAGGGCAATTCCCTTCTTTCTTCAAAAACATGGGCCAAGATGTTTCCTTCCTTTTCTTACATAGCCTTAGCTCTTGCTCTTTAGGGTAGCATGCTAACTTGCATGGAAATGTTGGATTGAAATGGAAGGTGATTATGCTCTTTTGTTGAGGACTTGCCCATTTTATGCACCTGCTAATGTACCATCCACTCTGTGTCTCCTCATTTATTTAAAAAAATAATACGAGAAGACAAATACTACAGTGAAAATTGCATTGAGGCCAAGTCATATTTTGGTGCAAAAGTAAACATGAACATAAAACTGTTAACGTATAAAAAGATCCAATATTCTCACTGTGAATTGGCAGAAGTTGAACACGTTTCAACTCAGTGGAGTTTCACTGCATATGTTTTGTTATGTGACATTCCTTTTGCTTGTACCTGAAGTGTAAATTGGCCACATTGAAGGAAGGAACAAACAGAAATGTAGGCTACCGTACATGTACTGTACATGTACATGTAGCTCACTCGCAAATGTCCTGTCACAGCTCCTGCCCCACCCCCAAAGAACTAAGTTGCTTGACCTGTTCATCTCTTTCCATTATTACATACATGTACATATATGTATACATGTCTCTGTTAGAGCCGTACCTCTTTCCACATTTATTATAAATTTGAAACCAGAAGTTCTGTCAAGGCAGTACATATAGGCCTGATTTGTCATTCTTCAGCATATCTTTCTATTAGATGCTCATGTACATGTACAATTGTACGCAGTGTATTTGGTGGAGCACCACCCGGGGGAAGTTTGGTACATGTAGTTGCTGTGTTGTGTACATTGTTGTTTGCAAATTTCATTTTTTGCAATGCCAGTACATGTACATGGTTGTCATTATGCAATATCCTCTACCATATAAATTTCCAAAACTTTTCAAGGGTGAAATTATAAATTCTCAACGTCTCAATACATTTTTTGATCTCCATTTGGAATGATTATACCAGAATGTCAATTCTGATCCTTACAGAATATTCCCGGACCCTTAGTTTTTTTGTCCTTCCCCACTGACCTCATTGTTTAAAAGTAAACACTCCAGACATGATAAGCTTATGTAAACAATCTCATGTAAAAGATTTTCTGTCAAGATTACATGATGTGATGGAAGGTCCAGATTTGGCAGCCACCAAAAATGTCAGTAGACTCCTCAGTGCCACCACTACCATGTAGTTTAACATACCCACCGGGACCCACATTTGAAAGGGAAATTGAAGGACGTGGATAAATCGCACATACTGGTACCGTTCATGGAGTTTTTCTCTGACAGTGATCAATTACCAAGTATCAAAAGTGTTACCATGTAAAAGTTGTAAACAAGACGCTGCTGAGTGCTGACGCCAGGAGTTTCACATCGCTTGTTGACCAAGTGTGGTAGTGCAGATCATGCTTTAAAAAATGGGTTCACCGCAACCTTTGGACTACAGGACAGAGGAAAGTTACACATTTAAATAAACACAGAGAGAAAGAAGAAATGTTAGTGAAGACAGAAGTGTCCAAGGACAGGCAAAACCAGTTTCACAATTGCCAATATCAAAACCTTCATGTACATGTGTAAAAAAAATTTAGTTCAGTTTTAATTACAATTTCTATGCAATTTCTGAATGTGTGTTAAGACAGCAGTTAATCACCTTAATTCAGACACCAGTATAGGTACTCTATGTGTAATCCCTTTAGGGCTGAGTCAATTCGAATAATTCACTATTCGAATATTTGACCTACAATTCGATCAAATATCCGTATGTTCGGTCGCACCAACAAACCATTAGCATAATCAGCTGCAAAAATGTGCTCAATTGTACATGTACATTATAGTCACTATAACAGCTTCTCACTTCTAGGACTATCTCCAGCCACGATTATGCAAGATTAAAGAGACGAACAATACTTCTTGCCCTGTTGAAAGTTTTTATTCCTTTTAAATTTTTAATGAATTTACTTTTTGAATCATAGGATACATTATTCTGTTACTTCTTATTTCAATCTGCTGAAAATAAGCCTCCAATTCTTCCTTTTGTATTAATTTTGCATTTGAATATTTGAATTCGGAAAATAGTATTTGAATATTTTTATAATCAGTCAAATAATCGGATATTCGGCACAGCCCTAAATCCCTTCACGTTCCTACAAACAAAACACTCTAATGAATGCGCATGTTCATGGCCATGAGGTGTGTAGTCACTCAGTCTCTTATCAAGCACATGTACATGCACTGTCACCCCCATTAGACTTGGTAAACACTTGAAGTGACGTTTCTGACATACATGTACATTGTACATGTAGGCATGATATTCGTGGCACCACAAGTGACTAGTGGTGGCCCAGCATACATGCTATGTTGTAATGGCCATGCCGAACACATGCAAATGATACAGTGTCGGTCAGCGAAGTTCACTCACACGAATAAATCATTTCACTACATGAACTAAATAGATAGATGTACGGTACATGTTTGTGCTGATGATCTAGGACTTCCGTGTAGAATTTTGTGACAGTTGCTACCCATCTCTTTGATTTATCCCTGTGTGAATTCCCCAAGTTGAAGTCTCCTTTCTGTCTCAGTAAAATGATTGCGGCCCATCCAAAGAGTTCAAGTGTAGTTGCAAAGACGTTTTCTGAGACACAAGTTGTCTTCAACTTTGTATTTTTTTCTTTTACTATTACATTCCTGTTTGGTTAAATACATTGAAAAGTGCACCTGAATTATGTTTGGCTTTCCTGGACAACTGAGGGCATTGTTGTTGTGAAGTTATTTAGGGAAGGCGTAGTCCAGTGCAAAGTTTTTTCTGTTCGAGGTGTCAGAATTTACTCACTGAAAATGTTTCTGAGAAAGGGATTGATGCTTGCTTATTGCTATGCATACATGTAAAAATCAGTGAATTAGTAAAGAAGAGAAAAGTAAGTCCAGCAAAATCTAAAACAATGCAGGGCTTTCTTGTGCACAAAATACCAGTATAAACCAGTGCAACAGGTGTCTCCCTTTGACAACATCACAACTTTTCTCATGCTCAGTAGCATCAAACTCAAAAAGGCAGTAAGGTGTCACTGGTATCCTTTGAAAGAAGTTTGTATTTTTTTCAAGATGAGTTTCTGAGTATTTTCTTCACTGAACGCGGCACACAGGCACACTGCTGTAGTGATGTTACCCAGGAAACAAATTGTTCCACTTAGATCAAAGCGAACCGTGAAAATTGAATTTTCTTGTACCATGCTTTGCAGGCAGCCTTTACTGAAGATGTCTGCATTGTCACTTTTCAGAAATGCCCCTGAGACCGAGAAGAACTTAGCAACAAAAACCAACAGAGTTAATTAGTTTCTCTTCAAGGATATTGTCCCATTGGTGAGATGTTAAAACATCTCCCAAGTCGGGCCAGTCGGCATCCCGCTGCAGATGCTGTGCTGCTCCTGATGAGCTGTCATCCGATCTGATGATGTTCGCAGGTGGCTGTCCCAAACGAGGACATTACCGAAAACAGTCAGATTTTAATTGGCAAGGCAAATCTTGCTGATTGACAGACACAGGGATGGTGTAGACTTAGCCATCTGTAGAGCACAGTTAATTGAAACACAGTGGTGACTGTGCCGTCTGCTACCATGGCCAAATCATTGGTGTTAATTACATGTAACTCTTTGGGTTTTATCATTTAACAAACGGTGTACTGGTATGGTACCGGTATCTTTTGTGTTTGATTATTTAACGTTCACTAATGTCTTGTTTACCTACAGAATGTTCTCCAGGAAAAAAATATGTACGAGTAGAGTTTATTTTTTACAGTTAATAATCATGAATTGTTTTCTAGATGTTTCTAGAATAATAATTTGCATTCTTTATGAAGATTCTGTTACATGTACACTATTCAATTGGTAAATGTACAAAATGAAAGCTGTGGTTTAGCATGTACAGTACATATACAGGACTATCATAATGTCTCATAGATGCTTGTCAGTTTTTGACAATTGGTTTACGCAGTGTTCTGTGACCATTTCCATAAATGCTGCTATTTTAGAGGATCAGTGATTGCAATCATATCGTAAGGGATTATGCATATCTTGTTTCATCATTTTCATGGGGGTGCAAAACATACTGTACTCTATCCCCCCATAATGAGTGCATGTACATTGTAAGCAAAGAAGGAAATAATAATGGCCAGTGGCCATTTTACCAGTTTTGATAAAAAGAGGTACATGTATTGTCAGCCATTAACCTCTTCCTAATGTACATCTGGTATACATGTAATTGAAAAAGAGGAATGAACAAATCCATGTTTAATACTACATGTATATAAATTTTGCTTGTTACACTCTCTTTTTTCCAGTGGTCATTATTCTGAGGTCAAAAGGGTGACAGAACGCAGCACTGGTCAGGACTTTGCTGGCAAGTTCGTCAAGAAGCGGCGCTATGCCTCTAGCCGGCGGGGCTCCAAGCGAGAGGACATTGTCAGAGAGATTGAGATCCTCAGCGAGCTGTCCCACAGTCAGATCATCAGCCTGCACGAGGTGTTTGAGACGTCCACGGAAATGGTGCTGATTTTGGAATTGTAAGTTTGCGCCCTTTAATAGAGGCTCTGTGCCCTGCGGAGAATGAAGTAACCACCAGACTTTGGAAGATTTTTCATTTACATGTACATGTATTTGTTGCCCTTTGTCCGACCGAAAGTACATGTAGTTAGGCAGATATCAAAGGGAAAGATAAAAGTCCCTAAAGCAAAATCCTTTTGGTGCTTTTGCTCAGGTTTTTGTGCGTATGACATTTAAACTCTGTGAGTGTGTTCTCACGCAATCCTGGTGCACGTGCGCACGTTGTCTGACTAAAAGCTGATAAAGGCAGAACGACATTGATCACGGGAGTACGTTTTGTGTCACCGCTTTTTGGCATAATTTTACTCGTTGTCCTGAGTTGTGTCTCTGTCTGTGCTAGTGCATACATGTACATGTGCTGCTGTATTTGAAGGTACATGTACATGTGCGAATACATGTAGGGATAGTGTACCGGTACATGTACATGTAGGTTATAGACATGTACATGTACTGGTACTGTGAGATGTGAAAAAAAGATACAAGCTGTTGGAAACGGTGGCCTGCTTCAGTTCGTAAGTTTTTCAGTTCTCCAAACTGAGGAAACTCATTTGACACTTTACCAAAGTCACTGCACTCTAGGATTACCAGCAGGTGCGCAAAGTACAGTGTATGTAATGAACATCAAAACCAAAATTCTGATGGAAGGATAGTATCGGTGTATGTAGCCCAACCCAACCCAGCTAAGATCCCAGTATGTCAAATCACTGAAGGGGATTCTGAATCAAGTGCATACATTGAGCTACATTGAGTTGTTTGCTGTGTTACTGATAACATGATGATCGTGTTTACAATTTTCCGAAAAAGGGTTCATGTACTTTACTTACAAAAGGTACATGTACCACTAGTACTGGAGAAAGAGTGTGAGATCAGCATACATGTACATGTACATGTGCGTTATCCTTTTAAAAAGGTGCAGAATTTTGATTTGTTTAAACTGTACAGTAGACAAACTTTGCCAAGGACCAAAACTAGTACCCTCTGGAAATTTGTTGAAATGTTTTACCATAAGAAAATGGTCATCTTAAAAACAAAATTATAGAATGACCCCTGAGCTAATTTCTAAAATTCTGTTCAATGGTACTACATATACATGTAGGTTGAAGGAAAATGCAGATTTGCATCCTGCACTGTACGGTTACGGTATAAGTCAGTGGCATACCGTTACCAGTGCCTCTTACAAATATTACCCCCTTCCTTGTATTCCAATATTTGTTTATGTCAAACACTTGTACACGTGTACAAAATGTATGTATATATACAATATAACTCAGAAATGTCCAGTTATTTCAGATTGAACATTACATGTACATGTACATGTAGCTAGAATGTGTAAGTTCAGACTCTCATAAGTATTCTTTGGTTTGGTACCTTCGTACACAACCCTGTGTATTTATGTGCGTTAAAGTGTATGCCCAGGTGTCACACACAGGTGCCCCTGCTTTTATCACTGTTTATAATTTATATACCTGTACAATGCAAATGAAAAAGCACCCTCGTCAAATGTCAATCAGCGGATGACATTTCGAGAACCAGTTTTTTTCTCACACTGGGTCACCCTGTATGAGTGGTCACTGGAAATATCCCATTTGTATCAGTATCAGTGCACTAGACTGTTGCAGGGGATGTCCTTTGTTCCATTCTTGGTTGACTAGACAATCCTTGAGCAGAAAGAATGGTCTTGATTTTGTCATTTTTGGTTCACTGCATCTTTTGAATTGCATTGTAGGAGTAGCTGAAAGTATCATACTTAGTCGTATTTCATGCAATACAGATAACTATGCAGGATCTACGAGCGTGCTTTTGGGGAGGAAAGTTGACCAGACAACCCTTGAGCAAACATTAACACTTTGTGGCTTAAAAACAGGTGGCCAGCTGTACAACTGTGTTTACTTTCAATTTGTCCAAAGATTGACCAAATATTACCAGAAGAGCTTGCCATTATGCTTAGGACTGTTTTTGCACTTCTTTTTGAAACTGCTCATGATGTACATGTACTAGTACCGGTACACGTACACTGTACGTGTACATATGTAGTATCATGTTAATACTGCCACTGCATGTACATGTACTGTATGCTGTAGTCACATACGTACATGTACATGTGTACATGGTACTCTACATGTATTTTGTATATGTACCATGTACAGGTGCCTCTTTTTCAGTTTCTACACATTTACATGTACATGTAGGTGGATCTGTATTTTAAGCAAAAAGTTCCTGTCTGGAAAGTTCTGAACATAAAAGTGCTTAAAATACCCCTTTGTACAATGTACGCTGTGCTTATCGTGAAAGACAAAACTCATTGTTTGTGACAGAGCTTTGTGGATTATGCAGACCCTGCCTGCATGTCTCTGAACAGATATGCGGGAGCTTCCATGAAGCAGCCCAACTTGGGCTGTAAGCAGTGGAGAGTGACAAGGAAACTGAGTTGTTCATGGCCATTGCGCAACAGGTGTCGGCTTTTGATGAGACTGTGCATTGTACATACTATGGGACTCCTTCATGCAGTCAGTGTCTCTGTTAGGCCATATGGGTAATGCCAGAAATTAGGGGTCCAAAAGTGTGACATTTTTGTGTCCCTGTTAATCTGACCTTTGTTATTTGACATGGAAATATCACCTAAATTGATTTCAAACTATTGTTATTTGTTTTACAGGTAATTTGCATTAATTCTTCACTCTTGGAAATAAGAAAATGTGGTCTGAATTTACAAAATCATATGTCAGATGTGACAGAGACACACACAAAACTGGACCCCTAATTTCTGGAATTACCCGTATACCAATATGTGCAGAGTGTAAAATTGCCTCTAAAATGCATCATTTGTTCATTTTTGCTTCAAAATACCAGTGCATGTGTATGTGAGTAAAAGTTTGAATTGAAATAATGGCCCTGGATTTCACGACAGGTTGTTACAAGTACTTGAAACTAACTGTCTTCACTTTATAGAACTGTTCCCAAAGGTTTATCCTCAAATGCCATACAAGGTCTGTACTTCACTGGGACTGGTATGTTTGACCAGGCCTTAGAACTGCATTAGGGGAAAGTTTGTTTTGTTAGGCAAATTCGGACTGAGTGGTGGGGGGTCTCTCTTTCCCCCAAACATTTGCGGACTGCACCGTACATGTACATGTAGGTGAGCCATGAAATAAGAAGTTTGTCCTCACAACAACACTCTTTAAAGTGGTGAGTATCATATTGTTGTCCTCCCACATTTTCTGGACCCTAAATGAAAAAAGTGGGGAAATAGGCATACATTGGATGCATATTTCAGATCAGCTGTTTATAATGGGCTACATACATGTACATGTACATGTACTGGTACCGTACATGTATGCACATGTATACCGGTACATCTGCCGGGAACAGTAGTCCATTTCACTTTTAAAGTTATTTACAAAGAGTACATTGTACCGTTATTTTGCAGTCCCTGACCTGAATACCGATATATTTACTGGTAACTGTCACTTGTTTTGTTCTTATATTCAGTTGATGTTTACCCATGGTCTCCGCATCTGCTCATTTGTCTCTTTTTTATGTTCGTTGTTCAGCCTTGTACATGTAACTTTTGTTTTGCTTGTTTTGCTTGCATGTGTACACTGTTCGTAAAACTTTGAATAATGATTTCCAAATTAAAAAAAAAGGGTTAAAATGTTGATTCCATTCGGCCATTTGGTGCTTGGTGCATTCACTTTTTATGGAGGCTTGTTGTGTAAAAACTCTTCCCTTGATGTCGTTGTTTACTTGATAATAAACAACTTATTAAAAATGAAATAAATCTCGCAGCAGAAGTTGAATTGGTCAGAAATTGCCTCAGATGGCTCCACAGAGCAACTGGATTCCAAAGTTTTCCAGGTCCCTTACATGCATGCAGGCCCTGAACCCATGCCAGTAGGGCTTTGTGCTTTGCACTTTTGCTTCAGTTCTGATCTACATGAATTCTTGTGTCCTCCCCTCCCACTTTTCTAAAGCGATGATGCTCAGGCGAGGCACGTGCATGTTACGGTATGTGCGTTTTAGCACGTTAGTGGTATAGTGGCATTTGTCAATGTGCCAATATTGCCATCCATATGCACATGTACATGCAAGCTTGAAAACAAACTATGTAGTCCACAGAATGTACATTTACATGTACATGTACATGTAGGTTGTGGGAAGAAACCAGGGCCTCGTAAGGTTTTTCCAACTCTGAAAAACAGATGAAGAGGCATTTTTAGGTCAAGGCTATCTGCAGCAAAACAAAAAAGAGTAGGAAACCATCGATTTAAATCCAGCGTAAAATGGCGTCCGCAATTCAAGAAAAATGAGTAATTTCAGTGAGTTTTTTCGACTACATGTTCAGTGTACACTGTAAGCTTGTACATGTATGGTACATGTACGTTTAACAATGTGGATATGAGAAAGCAAATTGAGCCATGTCCACCCATTTTTCTCTATGTACCTATTTAACGTGAATGTATGCGTGTGGGAGTTTGGTATCGCTAAAGTACATGTAATGCCTTCTTATTCTTGTCTGTACTTTCTGAATTATATGAATTCAATGAAGGTAAACACAGGACTGCCAGAGTGCCGGCACTGTCAGGGTACATGAACTATTGTGCATGTAGTCTACCGTACACTGTACACGTCCGTGCCATGTACCATACATGTACATTGTATGATGTGTGTTGCCAATTCATATTCTGTGGCTGAGTGTGGTTGGTACATGTATACATGTACATGTAAGTACATGTACAGATGTAGTTATCAAATTCAATGTAGCGAGTTTATTCTAGAAAGAGGAAAAAAAGTAGCAATCAACTTGACATAAAATATTCAGAATGCTGTCAGTAGGATGACTGTCTAAACTTTTATTTTAAAAAGTTTGTTTAGATGTATACATGTGCATGTACGTGCACATACATGTACATATTGTTTGTTGCAGGTGCGTACATGTTCTAGAACTGTACCGTATGTTACA